AAATGTATCATACAAATTTTTTAGTATAACGTTACTGCTGATAATAAAAAAAATTATAGGGTCCATCTTTGGATTACAAGGCATATGTTACAACTACATACGCCAACTCACGTTATTTCAAGGAGGATTATTGGTTAGTCATGAAGGACTTTCTACAGTTGGACTGAATACTACTTCGTCATCGTCAGTAACTTCACAGGGATTTAATATTACCAGTAGCACGAACTGCATGTGTGAACTTTCCTAAATGATTTTTTGGTAGTAGGTGTTATCAGGAATAACATTTTGTCGAAAAACCCTTAATAAATAAGTTTCCCATTGGGTATGACAATGTATATTGCTGACTTCATCAATGTCATAATCTATTTCCAACTGGATCAGGGATCTGTGTCATACCTAGCAAAAACTATGTTTGTTAGTATATATTCTAGCTTCAGGAAAAGATAGATTTCTTTTGATTCAGAATTTTAAACGCTGGTCCTGTGTCTCATACAATGTAACATCTTCGGCCAGACCGTGTCAGTGTTTATATAAAAAAACATCTGCGTGTTTTTGGCCAGACGTACCGTCATGAAAAATACTTACTTATCGAAATCAAGAAGAGGGGCGAGGAAGTTTTTGCGAGAGCCACGAGGAATCGGTCACGGTCGTCCCTCAGCCTTCGAGGCTGAGGATGATGGCCTAAATAGGAGGGTTATTTTTTTTAATGTGTGGTGCAAAGTAAAATGGAAATCAGTAGCGAAACCGTAAGTGTCGGGTACAGGAAACTTCAAAATAAAAGTGTTGGTGTTGGAGACACACCGTGTCAACGGAACCTATGGGTTGACCTTGAACCACCAAAGATGCGTTAGGTGAGTGTATTTTCTTTTCATATACAAAGCAGTTGATATATAGAGAGAGGGTTCACACATCATTTTGTCTGAACTTCCTATTTGGAAAGAGGTTATATATTGTTGGGTTTCCAGTGTGGATTGTTTAGCTAGAGTTTAGATTACAATTAAAAAAAGGAAGCAAATTCAAGATTATATACCACTAGCCCTAAAGTAAAAGTAAAACTAAAAATATTTTGTATTGAGTTGGTGCGTTTGTAGTTGTTTGAAAGGTTAAATTGATAGTAACTAGCACGGTTGAATTGACGGTGGTTTCTTTGTTCTATTTTCTTTTATTTTATAGATTTCAACATTCTTCTGTAAGATTTCACACGTTTTTTGTTTAGTCCATAGGGTCGTTGTTATACTCATTTTATACTTCATATTTGAAACCTTGGACTTTAATTTTCTCTTTGACTGAGAAAACTACCTTCCTCGTAGAGCCAATTTATCGGGAAGAGAATAGCAAGTGAAAAGTATTTTAACTAAGATTGAAATTCAGTTAGAGCATATTCAGCATCCTTTTGAAAACATATAATGGAAGAGAACTATAAGTAGGTATACCAAATGATCAGATTCCACAAGTCTGTTTTTTCGTGCAACCAGCGGAACTCACGAAAAATCAAGTCTTTGAAATAAAAATATATATAATTGAATTCGTTATGGTGACAACGGTGGAATAATAATAATATTTAAAAGAGTATTTATAATGAGAGCACTTCATAAACACTCCTTGTATACGGATTTGATGACCAGCTGAAACATCTGAATACAAACCATCCCGTCTCATTCAAATGCTTCTATGACTTTTTTTCTCGCTAACACATTCAGTTTTCAGCTGGATCGATAGGGATGCTACCGAGAAACCGCCACCTGCTGCGCCATCCCAAATATTCTCAAATATAGGCCAAGGCTATGAGGCTGGAATAGTGAAATACGAATATAAAATATTGCAAATAGAGATACTCCAAAATGTGGGATTATTTCAAAGGAAGGAAGAAATCAATCGATTTCAAAAAATTAACCCTGTGCAAAGATGTGAAGATCATGCGAAAAAGGTAATATTCAGACACAAACTGAAAGAAAAGCCCTATCGAAACAGATACTTGTACTTGTATTACACGAGAGAACGGGTACTTTCGTAACAACTACTTTTATATGAACACTGCATTATACAAAAAATACTTTTTCCTATTCAGTTTGTATTTTAAACATTCGTTATGGAATCGAATCAGATTATTTCACAATATTGCTACACAATAAAGTAAATGAAACAGGTGAAATTTCAGTTCCATGGAACACTGTCATCTTCGCTAGTGGACATCGATGTTTGGCCGTGAGACACTTGCCTTATCGTCTCTTCAGCACCAAATCTGGATACCATTTTGAGAAGAAGTACCCAATTCATTCATTAAATTACGACTTTATGTCACAAATGAGTTCAATCTACTCATGTCATCGATGACAGTATGTAATTATCACCAACTGTCAACGACTATCCAGAAATATAGATATTATCGAGTGTGTATGATATAAATGAAAAGGAATAAATTCGTGGAGAGAACACTCAAAAAATGGTGGCAAACCAAACACGGACACGTGTTTCTGGCTATTGGCCTCATCAGCGCGGTGCAGCTAATTGCAAAGATAGACAACAACTGGTTACCAAAAATGGAAAACATCACATATGCACGGTGTCACTAACAGGAGCTAACCGCACATTTGTGGTTTCAATTAGAAGACCTAGCATTCTCAGGCATCATCTAACATCACCACGTAGGCACCTATAGCTCCACGAATTCATTCCTTTTGATTTATATCATACACACTCGATAATATCTATATTTCTGTGTTTATATCCTGGATCCGGAAGTCACGCAGGTAGCTATAGCTGCCTACGTGGTGATGTTAGATGATGCCTGGGACTGCTAGGTCTTCTAATCGAAATCACAAATTGAAATTCTGGAAATAAAGCAGGATGGTTGTTCTTTCTCTCCAACTAAGTTGGTTGTGACTGTAGTGGAGCTGTTTTCTCAGTTTACTCATAAACCCTAGCAAAACATTATGTCTTCCAGAGTTCAATAATAAATCCACTTTGCCATCCTTCACTACTCAAATTTCTGATGATTTTTCAATAGAGTCATCATTTGAATTTGAGTATCTAGGTGTGATTATTGACAGTCATCTCAAGTGAATAAGCATGTCGTGTGTGTGTGATCAAAAAACTACATTTTTCAATTTACAAACTGAAAAACCTCAGATATATTTCCAAATCCAACTGAAAACAGTATATCACGCATTAGTGAAATCGCATAAGCTCACGGAATAGTAGCTTGAGGGCTAGTACAGAAAAATTTATCAAAATTTTATTCTGTAAAACAATCCGATACTCTTCTGACCTTCTATACTCTGAAACTGAAATCTTAGACTCGAGACAGCTATTTTTTTTTAATTTGAATGTTGAACAGCATGAAACTGAATCCACTCTTTTAACTAATAAACACCACTATAACACAAGACAGGAACATAATACTTACTTGCCTCCTCCAGCTTCGAAGTCAATTGGGCAAAAGAATTGAAAATTTCAGGGTCCGAAATTCTACGGGCACCTTCCGCAATGTATCTCAGAATTGAATAATATTGAAACATTTCAAAAATCGGTTGAAAGGTTATATCAAATCGACATCGATGGTTGATATACAATCTACAAATCGAAAACCCCTTCGGTCAACACTAAAGTCCCTTCTGATTATAAACCCATTCCATGATATATACTTTCTGAGATATATTGCATTGTCCATGCATGTGTTAATGTGTGAATTCAACTCTTTCAAACACTAGTTACACTTTTAACCTCAACTGTATGTTTCTCTTATGATTTTTAATGTATTTTTTCAATTCATTTTCATGCAACACTACTAGATTTCCCCACTTTATTGTACATTATTCAGGTTAGCTTATGTTGTAACGGTTTCCCTTGTGCAATAAATTATTAATATTATTATTGAATATTACTGGAGTTTTTTCCCAACACCAAACCGTTATTTTAACCCCACGACACGTGTTTCGATCACCAAGTGATCATCTTCAAGAGAAAGAGGAATATGAGTTTAATCTTCCTCTTGAAGGTGACACTTGGTGATCGAAACACGTGTCGAGGTGTTAAAAATAACGATTTGGTGCTGGGAAAAAACTCCAGTAATATTCATTACTACACCAAAGGTTCTAAACAGTGCATCGTAAGTGAATATTAATATTGTTTGATGATTTATTATTGTTTGCCATATATCAATACAATTTATACACGCGTTGGCGAAGAACGGAATTTTTAGTCAAAACTAATAATATTTTTGTCATTACGAGCTGTTGATGAACATTTTCCTGATGAACGTTTCACGAGGCCAAGCGAGATGTCATAAAACCCCTAAATTTGAGCAAAATTGTTCTAAATCACTCTCTAGATCACAGATCAACAGCTGACATTTCTATCGAATTTGCCTTCTACTGACTTCCATGATTTGGATATACTCAACCATAAACAAATGTAGAAAGCGGTTATTGGGAGATATCAAGTGAATATCCCTGCTGTATTATTTCTCTCATTCATATCTGAAAATGTACAGATATCTACAAAATATACACGTCATGGTTGTCGGTTGGCTGGAGGTCTGGAAGGTCTATCAATTCGTTTGATTTTCTCAAGTACTCACCTATTAAGTACCAAACAAAACGGCCGTCGTCGACTTCATCGAATTCCGATCATTCAATTTCCAAGGTGACGGAATTAATCGATTTGTTTTAAGTTGGCAAAAGTGTACTGATTCAAATGGCGCTTATTCAAATTGAATTGAATGAGTTTTCTCTGACATAATACAGTTTGAAGTCGGCTCATAAGAACGGATAAAACTTTTGAAACAACCAAATGAATATCAATCAATTCACTTGAAATAAATAGGTGAACATGAATTTTGTCATTGCATCAAATGATTTTGTCTGTTGGAATAACAGTGGCGTTGTGAGTGGGCACAAAAACAAGACATTATCAAATCCTAGATAAAGAGTTCAATCTGATAGTCAGCTTACCAGTACGGTAAATATTTTGAGAATCACCAAACACACTAATTAGTACTCATTTCATTCCACGAATAAGGACGTATTTGTTTTCGTTATTTTCATCATTTGGAAATTTGTTTATGCCCCTCGATATCTCCGCATGGACAACAGAATACTCAGTATCGAATGCAAATAAAATAAATATAACATTAATGTTTTATTTAATGTGCCACTGATACCGACTCAGTTAGTAACAAATCCGTAGTTCTTCGATACAGTGTGCATCTCTTATCTCATTTGAAGTGCGTTCTTCCTCCCATACAACGTTGGTTAATACTGGAATAAGTGGAATACTCGAATATTTATTTCTGGACACTACGAACAGGATGAAACTGAGTGTAAGTGTTGCATTTATGAATATCAAAGATTCGATTGTTAGACGTTTGATTCACTGAGAAAATAGCGAATTTAACTGATTAAGTACAATAATGATGATAATCTTCATTTCAAAAATATGCTATAACAGCTTGTTCATAAACAACATGAATTAATGTCAAGAAAACAAAAAATGTATGTGAATCTACTGGCATGCAACCACCACATATACTCATAACTATATACATTTCTATTATTCCCTTTGGTTCAAATTAACACAATATGGTTTTAAATCTATTATTTTTTGAAATTTTCTTTTCAGATCCATTCATATTATTCAAATCCTTGATTCAATTGGGCAATATATTGAAAAGCTAACACGATATAGTTCGAAATCTATTAATTTTTTTTTCTTGTACTGGTACAGATACGTAAATAATATCTTAGTCTGTTTTACTGGTACAGATAGGCAGTTAGGCAGGTTCATTGAATATGCCAATTCCATCCACCCGTCAATTAAATTCACCACTGAGAGGGAGGTAAATAATTAACTAAATTACCTTGGCTCAACCATTACAAAAAATAACATTAGACATGAATTTGCAATTTTCTACACACCATCTTACGTGGACATTATCATACATAATTCTTCCACACATCCTTACCAGCATAAAGTCGCTGCATTCAATAGTATGCTTCAAAGACTATGGAATATTCTACTGTCTGAGAGCAATTTCCAGAAATAACCGAGTTTGATCAAACAAATCGCGGTTAACAACGGTTATAAGGTATATACGAGTATTATAGTCTCCATTCTTTCAAAAAACTGGACCTGGTCTACCCAAATTCAAGATGCAATAACGTCAGTTATTAGTCATTGTCATATATGGGTGAACCAACCAATAATATTGCCGGTTTTTGAAGAAAGAATGCGTAAACGTAGCTCACAGAACGAATAATAGTCTAAGTAATTTTATTTGAAACAATAAAGACAAATCTTTGGTGTCGGATAGATCAGGAGTATATAGGCTGACTTGTTTGTGGCTCTTGCCCAAAACTGTGTATTGGCCTAACAGTAAGAACATTTCCCTGAAGAATTAAAGAGCATAGAAGTAGTTTCGTGAATAGAAATACCAATTCCACATTTGCAAATCACCTTTTAGCAGAAGGACATAAGGCATTGAATATGTAGAATATAATTAGTAAAGACACGTCTGAAGAAGCCATTGTATGGTGAAACACGTGTTGCGTTTTTTTAAATTGTTTAGTGAAACGCTCACAATGAAATGTTTTTTGAAAACGTTATTCATTTTTTATTTCTTTCTTAGATTTATTCATGCTCTTCAAATCCTTGATTCGATTAGATAATTTATTACACTTCATATTAACTTATTATACTTCATATTTATTACATACTTATTATACTTCATATTGACATGTAATGAAGAGTTTTTTCAGTTATAGTTAACCTATGTATAGGAAGCACGAAATCATTTCTTCTTGTTCCATAGGAATGTTGATTATTACTCTAAAAGAACGAATGTTTATTTTCAAATAGAAACATTGAGCATTCATGAATATGAAGGGGCATATATAGTCATTATTCCATTATTCTTATTCCATATCTACACGATTATTTATACTTCAAATTATTCATCATGAATACTTACATCAAACATTCTACCAACTTTCAACAATTTGCTCTATAAATTGTATTACTGTTGGGCAATGAAAGCTATATTATTATTATTACTAAATCATCTAACTTCTTTCACGCTGTTATCCACAAAAATATTCCAGTTACCAAGTTTTGGATTGAATTGAAAGTACACGTTTTTTCTGGGTATTCTCTGTGCCTACGGTTTCTCAGTATTTTTTTGAGAGCAAATGGGTCGTGAGTTAACAAGTAAAAAAATTCAGAAGTTGAGATTATTTCTAGTTAAGGAAAGGGCGCCCCGATTAGTTTGATCACACCTTGCCAAAATCATCTGCAAACCTGATAGTTAAAAAATTGTGGACTCCATTTATAAACCATGTGTGGCCTCAAAGTGAGATTTAATATTTAACTTTCAAAATTAATCCATTGAGATACTTCGCATTTAACAAAACTCGTTTTTCGAATTTTTTCTCAAATCCATAAAATATGTATCAAATTCAGCAACTGGAAATTTCTTTTATGCACTCAACAGTTTTTTGATAATTCCTTCTTCGAATCTCGGAAACAAAAGTCCTCTTATTGATTCTCGTATTTCTCCAGCAGAAACAATTTGCAAAACGCCATGGGTTTAAATAAAAAAGGATATACCAGTGAACCTCAATAATTCGAATTGAATGATTCCAAGATTGGGGTATGGTTGAATGAATTCTTTTTATTTTTCAAATAATTCGTAGAGAAACTTCTGTCATGTGAAAAGTGGAAATGTGTTGCATAGTGAATACTCCTATCATCTATTTTTGATTTTGCTGAATATAAAATTTTACAGACATCGAAACATTTTAATAGTGTCTGCATAATAGAATTATTCTAAATACGATGTATACTTGGTGTCATACAGGCTGTCCTACTTATTTGATCCTCTTTTAATTTTATCTACAAGTAACCAACTGTGACAAATTGAATTGTTACAATGTTTTGGTGAAGAAGTTTCATCTAAATTTATTTTTTTGGTGTTAATAAACAACATGTCTTTCCAAAATTCCATGAAATACCTAAAACATCCAGTCGACATGAGATATTTTCACTCACACATGGAATGATCTTACTCTGTAATTCTGTAAACCCTTACCTCTCCTAAATTCAAAAAGCAAACGGTATCAATATATTGAGATCAGTCTTTTCAACCTGACTATTGTTCAATAAGAAATTTCTGATACTGACAAACATTGGAAAGCAACAATAAACGTGGTTTTCAATAAAAGTCTGAACATAATTATTGAATATTGAATATTGTACTGCTACTAGATTCTATGGGGAATGCATGATGTGTTAAGAAATGACATTCATTTCCTGCACCCCCTCAATTAAACCAAGATATTTTCATTCGGATGGAGCTTAATTTGATTCTTCAAATTTCATAATACTAAGCTATTTTTTGGTATACAAAACGAACCTAGTTCTTGCCAATTGCAGATCATTCAATGAAATAGTGAAAACTTCAAGCCAAGGTTGAAATATTTCATAACGCCTGTATTTATTTACTCACTGTCATAGTGATAACAAAAGCGTTTCAGCAACTGAATCGTTATCTTCTGCATCATCGTTTCACTTCATGCCAGAAGCACAAGTTGGGAATGAAAAATTCAGTCAAACCAGAAAAAACATTGAAATTATTAGCATTTTCAACTGCTAACAGCCCGTCATCTAAAAATTCAATTCCGTTTGTGACTAGATTGCTAAAAAATCCACACCCATCAGAATCTTAATTTCATAATTATAATTTATAATGTCTATATCGGCAAAATCAGTCGGGGAAAAATCCCGTCAATTTATTCATTATTGATGAATCGTGATTTTGGAAGAGATCCGCAAATTTTCAATTTGCATTTAATCACACTCTACGCATTTTATGAACTTCAGTGGCAGATAAACCACAAAAACAAAAAAACATGTACAACATTTTTGGGAATGAAAGTTTTTGGTGGAGATCCGCCCATTTTTCCCACATTCCCACATTTTTTTGCTTAAAGACGGAGAAGTAGAAGCCTAAACCTTCCTTCCCCACTCTTACTATTCTCTCATCATTTTGGCACTCAACCTGGAAAACTAGTGTTTGCAAGGTTCATTTTGTGAATGATTTTGAGAAATTATTGGTGGTTCATTTTTCTTTAATTCAGAACACCAAATAGGAGAATGCCGCCCAGTAGAAATGAAGTACTTTATCAAAGCTTTGCAAAGTCTACAGGTATGTAAACAAATTAAACATTCGTTTTTACGTATCAAACATTTTTCTTCGATTTGAACATACTTTTTGAGCTTTCATACTTCCTGACTGGCATAATTACTATTGCAAAATAAGCACATTGTAATATTCGTACCTTCTATAGGTCTACCATTATTATATACTTCATACAGAACTGCTACAGTGTATGATCCAGAGTCTTCATGTTGAGAAATATTTTGTCTCTTAACAGTCATGCTAAACGGCAAAATTGACGCTACTATTCAATGGAAAATCCTCACTGGATGAGAGAATAACACACACAATACCTTCAAAAGGTTAATGTTTGGGCAGGGATTGTAGGAAACCATATCATTAGTCTCTTTTCCATTGAAGGCAACTGAATCATTTGGCACTACTTCAAAATGATGTCATTCCAAGTTTAGCAAATTCATATCCTGATTCAGGAAATCCTCAAGTTTCAGTGAATACGTTATGGTTTCAGCAGGATGAAGCACCACCACATTATCAAGTTAATGTCCGGAAATACATCGATACAACATTTCCCAATCGGTGAATGGGGAAGCGGGGATCGATTGAATGACCAACGCGATAACCTGATCTTCCATCATTAGATTTCTTTTTATGGGGATATGTAAAGAGCAATGTGTACAAAACTAAACCTTCAGATTTGAATCGTTATGCGATTAGGTCGGTCCCGTTTGATATATTGAATAATATTGAAAGACAGTTTTATTTGAGATTAGGATGTTGCAAAGACGTTCGCGGTGAAGATTTAGAACATTTACTTCGTTAACATCCATATTTCTTTTTCGTTTTCTACATTTTATTACGTTTTGCATTACATTTCAATGTTTGAGTGTATTTTATCGAATTTCGTTAACCACATGATTTCGATTTATTTTATCTTAATTTTTGCAATAAACTTGAAAGCGATAACATTTTTGAATAGAGAATGAAGAGACCTTTCAAACAATATATCACAAACCTATAAAGATATCACGAATTATAAAATTCTTCAATATTATAAAATACTTTTTCAAGAAGAAAGTTTTTCAATTTATTTTTGAATAGAATGCCATTCAGATTCACATCTATCAAATCTCTTATTTTATTGAAACACT